AAATACATAATAAATAGCACATTTTATCTCTGAAGCAGACGACTTCTCAAAAATTGTAGACCAGTGTTATTTGTTCAGCCAACGGGACAGCAGGGATTCCCGCTGCTGACTGAGCCGTTCCCTGCCACAGGGCACTCATGTGTTAGTGTACCTGTAACCATGAAGTCAGGGAATAGGACTGTGCCTTGAGGGCAATAAACATGGCCGAGTGCCTTTGTCACCAGGGCCAGCTCCAACATTTCTGCCGCCCCAAACAAAAAAACAAACAAAAAAAAGCCACGATTGCAATTGTGACTGGCAGCGGCAATTGGAAAAAAAAAAAGCCGCGATTGGCGGCGGCAGTTCAGCGGCAGGTCCTTCGCTCCTAGAGGGAGTGAGGGACCTGACGCCCCCGAATTGCCGCAGGTGCCGCCCCTCTCCCTTGGCCGCCCCAAGCACCTGCTTGTTAAGCTGGTGCCTGGAGCCAGCCCTGTTTGTCACTAAACTGTGGCTATGGTCTTTCTTTATGAGTAACACTGAGGTCTGCTGAATGAGCAGACTGCACTCCCTGCTACTAATAGCATTAAAACTCCAAGGACAGAAGCACAGAACAGCCTAAACATCACTACTGAGGCAATGACATTGCAGCTGAACCAGCTATCTGCGCAGAGCTGGAGACAGCAGATGGAAAGAACACACACAAACATGCAACTGACAACACATGCCTCTTTGAACTCTGAATTAGGCCCTGAACAAGGACAAGAGTCTGGGGTTTCTTCTACCCAAACTACCCATCTGATACCAATTCCTCTCCCTTAGCATCAACAGACCCTGTCCCACAGTCACTTCTTCCAGAAAACCATAGAATGGGAGAGGTACTGGCCCAAAAGGGCCAGTTATAGGTGCATTAGTGAAATGTAGTTTTGCTAAACATAGCAATTTTTCAGGAAAAATCCCCAACTTCCTAACTGTGAAGTATAGTAGACCGTGGTATAGGCTTGTGACAATGTGACAAATGCAGCAGAATAAGTGTGAAGCAGAGTCCTGCACTTAGTTGCAGAGGCAGCAAATAGAAGGTAGAAATGGACAAGCTGTGATGCTCACATACGGTAGTGAGGGGGCTATAGAGCTAGGTAGATGAATGAGAGGAGCTAATGAGACTCTCCTCTCTCCAGTTGCCATGGTAGAAGGGCTGCAGTCCTGAAGCAGCTGATCTGAAGGGAGTTAGGCACTAACCTCCTGTTGACTTTCAGTGGGAGTTGGGCACATACTTTCAAAGCCTGGTCTACAGTAGAAAATTAGATCAGTTTAATATGTCAATGAGAGGGGTGAAAAATCTACACCCCTGAGCAACGTGGCTAAGCCAACCTAAGCCGCATGTAAACAGTGCTAGATCAACAGAAGAATTCTTCCATCAATCTAGCCTCAGGGAGAGGATTAACTGCAGCAATTGGAGAACCCCTGTCTACATTGAAGCACTACAGCAGTGCACCTTTGAAAATCCTTTTCATAGCGTTTGATCCTGCAATGTGCTGACCAAGCACTCTGCCCTGATCCAGCAAAAGCACTTAAACACATGCTGTATTATGAAGATATACTAATACAGAGACAATATATTCACATTTAGGTCTTCAAAGGGTCAAGAGCATTACTGGCACACCTAAAAGAAATAATCACATGCACCAAACTAAAAGTGCTGCATGACAACAGGTGAAAGACTGTCTGACAGACTTATTTGGAGGTGTGCTGGAAATGGCTATTGCAGTAACGTGCTTTAATAACAGAATCTCCTTCTTTGTGGCCAAGCACAAACTCTTCCCATTGATAATGTGGCTGGTCTAGGTTGTCACCATTGTGTTGCTACAAGAATATTTGGAGCCCCAAAAGGAGTATACATAAAAACCCTTGTTCACTGTTACACCCACCATTAAATGGTTGGGGGGGGGGGGTATGTCAAGTTAATACTGGTGAGTCCCATTGTAACAGTCACCATCAAAAATGTTTTAACCTTTTATTAAAAACACAAGAAGGAAAAACAGTTAAAGCATCTGAAATGTAAAGCATTAAGTCAAGCTCTCACTTTAGCAATTTGCCCCATGCTCTCCCCATTTAGATGTACAGAATCTTTTTATTGGAGAAACCTCTGTTTGACCGTCTTTTAGATGGTACTTGTGAAGAATGTGGGATATTTCTATTATTTTTTATGAAAATTGTGTGTGCCTACATTTCCCACCTCACTTTTGTATTGCTACTCACTTGCTATGAAGGGAGGGGTTAATCTCTTTCCAGAGACTGGGGAATTGACAGGGTGTGAGTCATGTAGACATGTCTGGGTTTGTAGAAATAGACTGACAAAACCTGTCAATGGGATTGGACCATTACTATTTAATGAAACAACTGCCTGCCAAGGGGTCCTGTTGACTGTGTTGGACAATGTGTGAACACCGCCCTCCCCTATCTGAACCAACAACATTGGAGAAGGGGTGTCAATCTCATCCTGTTAAAATTAACCAATCCACACATATTATAATTTAGAGTGTGACATTTATTGAAATGGCCCTATCCAAGTTCAATCAAGGAGGGAAGTAGGGATCAAAATCACATTCACAGCTTTCATTTCTCCTGGTAGGAAAGAAAAAAAGATAAAGTGATTAAAATCTATAGATTATTTTTTCAAGCAGAAACTATTTTTCTCCCTAAAAATTATAGTTCTGAGAGGAATTTGTTGCCAGAAATGTGATTTCCAAGAATCCATTCTTCTAAAAGAAACACCTGCATATAATGTGCCCCTGATACCTGGGTGGTAGAGGGTCTTCGGAATAATTGCACAGTATCAACTTTGTTATGATATACCAACAACTCTGATCTTCAGGGAATGTAGGTAAAGTCCAGGTTGTCCCCAACCTCTTTGAAAGCATTGGCAGAAAGCAGGCTTTCCTGATTCACCACAGTATGTGTGGATTTATCCCACATCTAGCTCTGTACTTTTCCTTTTCCTCTACACAACCAACCAACTCTCTTACGCTCTCTTCTTTCCCCATTTGTACCTATCAAATATCTATTGCTCTCAGTTACCCTTTCTGGGCACTTGGCTGGTTTCAGTTTGAAGCCTGACTGCAGGGTGTATTGTATTCAGCAAGAGCATACTCGTCTGAAAAAGAAAAGGAAGAAAACATCTATATTCCAACAACAAATCACTCCAACCCCAGTGCATGCACATCTGTGGTTAACACATATTCCAGATACACCAGCAGCCAACGGATCTTGTTGTAGCCTCTCCAGGTGTCAAGGGACTTGTTTCCATGGCTGATTTAGAATGCACAGTCAGTGCCCAATGCATTCCACTGAGCCCACTGACAATGTTTAGAAGGGAGGACTATCCGTGATCACAGAAGCCATTTCTGATGCTAATTATGTTGATCAGATGGTAGTGTGGACAATCACAGGAAGCAGAATATACCTTCCAGTCCTCTGGACATCTATACTGATCTGGGCAGAGACAGTTTCTGGTATTTATCCCAAATCAGGGCAAACACCATGGTATTTTAAGTGTAATGGTAACTATAGCCTTTGGTACTCCATGATGACTGATACAATCATAGTTACTTAGCCGTTAGGTACTATGGCAATGATATGGTGGGTGGGTGAGACATGCCATACTAGACAAGACAGAACCACTCACCTCAGGTCATTTATTTTTACCATCATGCTAAATCTGTAGTATAATGGTTACACCGCACATTGAACCAGGTAAAGAGTTCTTGAAGTGCCACTGTCCATCTGTCTTTGTGTTCAAATTAAACAAGAAGGGGGAGAGAGAATTCCCAATGTCTCTCCTTGGCTGAGGAGCTGTGTAGTAACCAGTAAGAACTACATCCTCGCCTTCCACACACTGCCGCTGTGAGAGAAAAAAAGGGCAAATGCAGAAATGGAAAGCGAAGTCTGCATCCAAACCGCTGGGGAAATGCATCAGAGGTCATAGCTACTCAGCTTCTTGGCTTCTGCTAAAGCTGGGATCAGTAGTTTGATTCAGTGGTCTCTTCCCAGGCTCAGCCAGGCCTCCTACCTGTTTCATATTAGTCATAGATGTGTGCACTTCAGCAGGTTTCATATCAGACCCAGGAAGGTTTTGCTCAACTGAGAAAGAGAAACTGATTTCCTCCTTAGATGCCTGGAAATAGGACAGAAAAATGCACCAGACTTTGTTTCTTTTAATATTAATTGCCGTTACTCTTAATGGATTTATATAGCATGACTAGGCCATCTGAACAGCCCACCGCACCAATTATAGGGGATGGCAATGGGACACTTTAAGTCTCTCTGTAGAAAACAATAAACACAGGCTGGTCGCTGACCTGCTGATGATGTGTTTTTTTCATTTATTTAGGAGTCCGCGCTCCAAATATAACAAAAAACAAAAGCACATTCTTCCCCAAGCTTATCTTTTCCAGGTAGAAGAGGACATGGTTGTTCTTGGTTTCCACCTCCATCACTCTATGATCATCCTGAATCTTTAAACAAGGAAAATTATACCAACTTTTAACACAGGAGATAGCCCTGCTCTTACACAAACAGCCATTTGTATCCAGGGATCTGCTATGGTTATTATATGCCTATGATTCCACAGTGCCATCTAGTGGCCAGAATAGGTAAAAGGAAAACTATTTACTGTGGCTGTCCTAAAAGGAGTATGAAGTAATCGTCATCATAAAATATAAAACTTCTCAAAATTCAACGTTTCACATTTTATTGTATAATACAGCATCATATGGACCAACCACCTCAGTTATAAATGCATATATGCAGCAATGGAGAATAAAACCCAGGACCTTTGGCTCGTAAACCCACCTATTTCTGCTGCATTATCTGTCAGTAGTTGTAGAAATTATATTCCCTGTGGGACAACCACTAGATGGTAACTTATCCCATTGACATGACTGAAAATTTGGGGATAAGGATAGTATTTAGCAGTGCTTGGACAGTTCTATCCCAGTGGCAGGACTGGAAGCCTGGGAGACAACTGAGATCACTCGCCTCCAAGGCATTGCTTAAATGATTCCCAACATTTTGGAAATTGACGTCTGGCTTCTGTTTACTTGCCAGCCAGATCAGGGTTTGAGATTGAATGTGGTCGCAGTACAGATGTAGCATTTGTCTTATGTGAAAGACTTGTATACTAAGGTGGTGAGCCTGCAAGGGAACCACACAAGCAGGAGTGAGGAGCAGGGAATATCTCTAAGCTGCCTGGCAATTCTGCTACCACCTTCCACATGGGATGCTGGAGGAGACGCATCAAGCAGAATCTAAAGCCCAATCTGGTCTCATGTCAATCTCCATTCCATGATTTTCCCCATGACTATGCCACAGCAAGCAGTGCTTGCTAAAAAAAAAAGTCTGTACAGTAGACACACAGGTGGAACAAAAGGAATACTGATTATTACAGCCACCATGTTTCAGCACCCATTTTCCTTACTCTCAGAATTTTCCCCAGCAGAGCAATTCTTGGAGGAAGGGCAAGGACACCTGTATGTTTCCAAGATCCTACTGGGGCAGTTAGAGGCCGTATAGGTGGTTCTGCCACTCCTCATATGAAAAAGGCAGGGTGTCTCCAATCACTCAGCAGTAAAAGCTGCAGGATTGACAGGCAGCCTGGCAGACTAGATTGAAAAACCCTAAAGAATGAAGTTCTCTATTCATGCCCAGAACAGGTACAATCCATACTGCAGTGGCACAGTCTTCACCAAGCTAGCCATTCCCCTCACTTACACACCCCACAAAAATTGGGGAAAAGGTTGCTTTTAGGAGGCATAGAATATATGCAAAGGGGTTCTATCCCTTAAAAAGAGATGACACATGCCCGTCAGAATGTACCTGGACTGCATAATGTTTCAGAGCTTGAGTTCTTTATTGGCAACATTAAACTAGTAACTATCGGACAATTTTCCACAAATGTATCAGGATTTATCAGCCCAATGTTAAGGTTGTTAAGAAATTATGTGATGCAAAATATTACTATTAAAGTAGCAGAAGGAAAAGTGGTTCACGGATACTGGTGCAATTTACTCCAAAACTTCCCTTTCTGTTAGTATGCAATGTCTCCCTAGTAGGGATGGAAGCTGTTATTCCACAGAGACTGGAGAATAAAAACCCCGAGCATTTGCTTACACACCATTGTGAAAGGTAAAGAGGAATTTCAAAGAGAGTAAGAGGCACTAGCACTAATTTGGAGTAATTAATTTAATTAATGCTTTAGAAATTCAGAATTCATCACCATTCCCTAGAAAATCTGGGGCTCAAAAGCATGCATTGTACTTCAGGCAGCAGCTGTGATGCAAAGATGAGCTTCGACCTCCATTGCACATGAGTACCATGTCAGATACAATACTTCAGAGGAACATGGTGACACCCTGCTACTGTCCCAATTGTTTCTGATAGCAAGAGAGAGAAAAGGGGGTTTTGATTTGAAATGATGGGAGCAGTGGGGAATAGAGTTGTCAGAAAGGTATTGGGATCAGGATTTACTGGTATACATAAAAGAGTGATAATAATGAATCATATTGTCCTGCTGTTACAGCAGAGGTCCAGAAAAGCCCCTGAGTTTGAAGATGATGTAAATATGTTTACTGACTTGAAAATGGGTCTGTTTTCATTGGCCTAAAGAAGATATTAGTCTAATTGGTGTACCTAATGATGGAGATGAGGAACAAGTGTTAAATGCCCTTCATGACTGATACCTTTAGACATAATATAAATGCAAACCTCCCAGAAGACTAAACATGTATAAATTAATGAATTGCAGGGGAGGAGTCAAAGCTATGTAACTGAAGGGAGAAGCTGTCATTATGTTGTCTGTGCACTGCACATTTTGCTGTTGAAGAGCCATCTTGTGTGCTGTGGGAGCAGCTGGAAGGCAAGCTGCCTTCTTCTGTTTCAGTTCAGATGCCACATGTCACCAAGACAAGTCACTGTGTTTGCTCTCTTCCAAGGAGATTTATATTTGTTGTTTCTCCACTTGCTATTTTCCTATATCTGAAATAAGAAGCACCTCAACTGAGAAATTCATGTGCTGCTTTTTGTTTTTTAGAAACACAACACTTGCAACATTTGCCTTTATTTCAAGAGAAGCAGAATTTGCCCATTCATTGTATCTCATTAGATATGCTCCTCCTCCCCTTTTCTTTATCTGAGAGTTCATTATTAGAGCTTGTCAGAAAATGGGACAAAAAATTGCCAAAAATTGTCCAACCAGCTGCACATAATTAGACCTTCAGAATGTACGAGGTTTCTATACTGAAGACAGGACATTCTCCCCCACTGGTAAACACCTTTGTTGCATCCACGCTGTTCTTCATTTCTATAGAGGAGTATTTAGCTCCATGAAAAACAAGCAGAGCCTCAGTGATGAAACCCTGGGGTCCTGGGGAGAAAAATCATACAATAGGTTATCTTGTTCCTTTCATGTAGAATTTGCATGGCACTCCTGGCTGAAAGCACTTTTCAAAAAAAGCCCTTACCTGAGCTGAGGAGCCCTCTTCATGGCTTATCTATAATATATGGCCAGTAAATCTTTGTTTTAGAAAGCATAAAGCCCTGCAATCTCTCCCCTCCCATTATCCTAGGGCTAGGATCTGAAAGCTCTGCTGATGTTCCTCAGCCTTTACTGGATGCAATAGCACCAAAAGGAAAGGATAGAAAGAACTGTTCTTCAACTCTTTTTGGTGTGTCCTCACTAGGAAACAGGTGTGTTCTTAGCCGTGGTATTGGACCAAAAATCACACAACTGTTTCTGTACTGGGGTCTTGGAGACCCCTGGTATGTCAAAATTATGGGAGAGGGGGATGGATTCATTTAAAACTGACTTTACTGTAACCTGTGAACTATAAAACTATGAACAAGTTAAAACTTTTCTAGAGTCAGAAGCACACTATACAGTATTTGTGCTGGGGTCTGACTGACCCCATGATCAAAACTATTTTTTTTTAAACTACATAAAATACAGGTGTTATAACTGATCCCAAGTATAGACAATGAAAACAGACTGGAACAGCAACAGTATAAAAGGCAGAAACACAACAAAGTGGCAGTAAATGTCTTATTGCTTTGAACAAATGGAACAAATAAGCAACATGTTCTGAACATACAAAGTTTTTACACTTTGCATATTTTTTATTATTTATTTGTTTTCTCTGGAGCAGATGTTGCATCTTCCCCATTTCTTAGGCTCTGAATAAGTACCCAGCACACTAGGAGTCTGAGGCAGGGCTGCAATGTTCCTTTTTGCATCATGATTTCACCCACTGAAACTATAATAAAAGCAATGGAGAAAGATTCATATAATCCCATCATAACTGCTGCCTCAAAATAAAAACAATCTGATGCTGGAATACATGCAAAATTAATTTGGGGCCCAACTGACCCCCAATACAATTTGAGTAACTTTTTTCACTACACTAAAACTACAACAGATATGCAGACAAAACCAGTGCTAACAGGTTGGTCTCATCAGTTTGTGAATACATAAAAGAAGAAACAGTGGTTTGCCTGTCATGATTTATTTACATGTTTGTACGTGTTTGGGGTCCAAGAGACCTCCAAAGACCCTTGGATGTGTAGTACTTTCATTTTCTCCACTGACTAACATTGAGGGTGCTAACTGACCTTTTTATTGACTTTGTTTGATACACCAAAACCAAAACCAGCAGCATGATAAAACCAACATGGGAAGAGGGACCTCATCCTACTTTGGGAATAATGTTGCATAGGCCCAGATTTAACACAACTATTTTTAATTATGTTGTTGTGCATACTGTGGTCAGATAGACCCCAAATCACTAGGAGGTTAACTCGAGTTAGTAAACATGAAGTAAAATCCTAGTGAAGACAAGGCAATTTGTAGCTGTCACATGAATTAGCAGGTCATGGTAAATCCTAGGCTATGCCACAGTTTTAACTTGACCTGCTAACTCATTGGAAACTACAAACTGCTTGTCTTCACTACCTTTTAACCTCATGTTAGCTAACTCGAGCTAAAAATACCTTTTTCCCCTCGGTGATGATATGCCTTTGAGGGACATGGATTAAATCTCTTCCTTGCTTTTAGGAAAAAATAAAGCTCCTTTGCCCTTACCTTGTCTAGCCCTCTGCCTTGCAGACACAATGTATGTTGCTGTATTAATTTCAATGTCATAAGTGTACCAAAGAGACAAATGTGTTAACATGGCGCTTTCAGTGTCCAACATTAAAGTGTTAAACAAGATTTGGGGTTTGGTATACAGATGCCTGAGCCTGCTTAGTACCATGGAAAATACATAATTATGCATCCTTTTAACCTAATGTGCTGGTACAGTTTGCAAGTGCAAATAAAAGAGGAATGCTGAAAGTGTGGCCCTCTGCAGTGGGGTCATATTTGTTGTGAATGTCACTCTCTGATGTTGTTCTGGTCATTTACAGGTTGTATTCTTGTTTCTCCATGCTGAATAGTCCTGATCACGTTATTGAGACCAGTCTAACCTTGGTTTCTCTCTGTTATTATATGTGACGGGTTCCCCCAGGGTGCCACCTGGAACTGGGGTACCACTGAGCCCCCCTGACCCACCAGCCTGGACTCCCTTTACACTGTACTGCTGTGACCAGCCTGCCAAGCCCTCTCCCAGGCTCCAGCCTGCACTTTTACCAGCACACATACAGATAGGGACACAACCATCTGCAGTTACATGCACACAGGTTCTTTAACCAGCCCCTGAATGAGAAGGCACAGTTAGGGCACTTTGCAGTTCCTAAGGCACACACACACACCCCGGAGTGTAACCCCAAAATTATACCATCTTGTGCTGCACAGGGACCTGTACACTGTAAGCTCATGAAATTGGCCCCCTCCCTCAATGTGGAGAGGAATATACAACAGCTTTTTGTTCCGAGTTATGACTTCCACACACATTGGTTTTAGACAAAGCAAAAACAAATGTATTAACTACAAAAGATAGATTTTAAGTAACTATAAGGGCTAGCAAACAGATCAAATCAGATTATCTAGCAAATAAACAAAACATGCAAACTAAGCTAAATATACTACTTAGTTTGGATATGAATAGCAAATTCTCACCCTAAATGATGATGCAAGCAGGCTGCAGCATCTTAATGGGCAAGCTGCACTAACTTACAGCTTGGAATCCCCAGGTGTTCCATTCACAAGCTAAAAATCTCTTTAGCCTGAGTCCAGCACTTCCCCCAGGTCAGTCTTTGTTCCTCTGGTGATTCCAGGAGTCTCTTTGGGTGGGGAGTCACTCCCCTACTTTATATAGCTTTTCCATATGGCGGAAACACTTTGTTTCAAAGCTTGGTTCCCATGCCAGTCTGTGGAAAAACACTGGTATCCCAAGATGGAGACCAGCACCAGGTGACCTTGTCACATGTGCTTGTAGTGTCATAGCAGTCATGAGTCAGAGGCTGTTTATAGCATCCCCAGGAAGCGCCCTCCCCTTCCTCCCCCCCAGTGGGAGATAAACTTCTAAGTCCTATTGTTTTCTCTAATAGCCCTTTAACCTGAATGTGCTCATCCCAGCCAGACATCTAGACTGAGTGCATGGTGCCTAGTGGGAGTTCCCCGGGTGTAAACACATTTGTAATAAAAATATATAGACAATATTCTTAACTTCAGATACAAAAATGATACATAATTTGTATAAATAGGATACATTTGTATAAATAGGATAATCATATTCAATAAATCATAACCTTTCCATGATAACTCAGATGACACATCCTGTATAAGATATATTATGATTATGTCATAATCATATAATAATATCTCTATGAAGAATATGGCATGCAGTGTCACACTATATTCCCAAAGAACTTTGCCTCGTGTAATAGAACTGTCTAATAAATATAGTAATCCAGCTGGAACATCTTCCTTGGGCTGGTATTACATATTTCTCACCTGTTAGTTTGCTCAAGTGCACACAGCCTAGGACTTGAAGATATGAGACCTTAGTGCTTTATCTCAGCTGTGCTATTTATTCTGTGGGTGGCCATGGACAAGTCTTTATGGGTATGTGTACACAGCAATTAGACACCCAGGGCTGGCCCTTGCCAACCAACTTGGTTTCATGGGGCTCAGGCTGCAAGGCTATTTCATTGCTGTGTAGACTTCCTGGCTCTGGCTGTGGCCAGGGCTCTGGACCCTGTGAGGTGATAGTGTCCCAGAGCTCTGGCTCCGGTGTGAGCCCAGAAATCTAAACAGTGATGAAACAGCCCCGCAGCCTGAGCCTGTAAGTCCAAGTTGGCTGGCACGGACAAGCTGCGGGTTTTTCTTTGCTTTGTAGACATACCCTTAGAAATCAGTCATTGTTTTGTATTGCCATGGAGCAGATTATCTCCTCCCTCACCCCTTCCTCCCATCTCTCCATCATCTTTCAGTCTCCTAGCTCCCTATGGCCAGGGTTTCTGTGATGGCTGGGACGGGGAAGGAGACCAGAGGAGAGGAAAGGATCCACTCTCCTACCCTAGAGTTTGTGCATGCTATGCAGGTCATGGCCCCATGCAGCAAGTCTGCAGAGCGCTGCCTGGGAGCTGAAAGCTCAGCTGCTGCTATGGTGAATTATGGGCTTGGTCTCTATCAGTTCACTCATTCCCATGTTCATGCAGCACGATGCAGGTCACTACTGGAGTGTAACTGGCATCTCAGAAAGCACATCTCAGTGAGATGATACCACAGCCCCCTTGACACTACTAGGCCACTCCTGCCTTAACTGGCAGCAGAAAGACCTCTGATGGGATGCTGGCCTTTGATGACTCCTCCGTTTCTCATCTGTAGTTAATACAAATAAGCAGGGTACAGTGCAGAAAATAGCTCAGTATTCACCTCCATGTTTGTTTCATTCTAATTGTAAATTTAGTGCATGAAAAAGAGGGTCTGAAAAACTGTTTCACTAGGGACACAATAGATACTGCAATAACGCTAGATGAGTTATTCTTCCTGATGCTTCTCCGATTCTTCCCAGAGCAGGTTGAGTCTGTGCTGATCTATACTAGCATTCCCATTGGTGGATTACATTTAACAAAGGCCTTTTCTTGTAAAGTGCTTGTCAGGTGTTGGATTTAATTGAGTATTAAAAATCAGTTCTAAATTGTGCTTAACATACAAAATAAGTGAAACCTGAGTATTTATCTAGATGACTAGAATAGAATTCATATAAAGTCTTACAGAAAAAACCCAGAATAGGCTAGACCTGAATTTCTAATTAAAAAACAAAACAAAACAAAAGAAAAACCCCTGCTCATTTTAAAAACAGCTTTTGGTCTCCTTTAAACAGAGAAAAGTAGGGTGACCATATGTTCAGTTTTGGACAGAACAGGCCCTTTTTTAAGCCCTGTCCTGGATGTCCTCACTTTTTTTTTTCCCCAAAAGGAGGCATT